TCACTTAAGACAATAGTGTACGGTGGCGTAATTTCGTAGATTGGTTAAAGTTATACATTAACACTGCTGGGTGTCGATCCAGTGATTTAAAGATTAAGCATTCACGAGTGAGGCTGATAGGCCGTCGGTTTGAATCCCATGAGGTGGGATCGTGGATGCGCCCTACTGAGGAGTCCCATATTAAGATGAAACGGTCATCCGATGCTTCCAGGTTTCCCATGGTGATCTAGCTTCAATTGATTCATGATCTCAACTATTAAAAACTACTATAATATCCACACAAAAAAAACTTTCTTATATAAATAATATTATTTATCATTATCATCATCATTGATAAAGTTACATTACATCTATGATGTTTAGTTAACAGTTCGTCTTTTTTTTCATTTATCTTCCTGAAAAGAAACATTATCGTGCTTATATACAACATAAATAATGGTGAATAGGCGTCAAACAGTTTAATTCGTTTCCAGATTTTTGTTATTAGATCAATGATACAGCATAAATAAACTAATATACACAACTATTAGATTCATCATCATCATCACATGGGATTGTGATGTGTATAAAGATAATAATTTAAATAAAGTTTTATGGGAACAAAGGGGTTGTTTTTAATTCATAAAACTGAAGTTAAAACATGAAGAGAAAGAAAAAGAAAACCCTTGCAAACAATTAGATAAATGGATGAAATTTCAATGATGCAAATTTTAACACCATCATTAAGAAACTTATATGTATCGTAGAGAATAGATAAGCTAATCATAGTATTGATTGTATACTCTTAAGTGGGTTTTTACCTTTTAATCTATTTGCATATATTTTAGTGTGATTGTAACGTTAAATACTTACTTATGCCTGTTACTCCTCGTGGAGGAGCATAAACCGCTCATTAGCATTCGCCATCCAACCCTGTCCCAAACAATCCTTTCCAGCTCATCCCAGTTGTTATTCATCCTTTTCATATCTGCTTTTATTTCCCGACGTAATGTGTTCTTTGACCTTTCTCCTTCCTGTTTCCCTTCAGAATTCCAAGTTGGGGCTTGTCTCGCAATGCAGTTTGGTGACTTCCTCAATGTATGTCTAATCCATTTCTATCGTCTTTTCCTAATTTCTTCCTCAGCTTGAAGCTGGTTTGTTCTCTCCCACAGTAGGCTGTTACTGATGGTATCCGACCAAGGGATATTGAGTATCTTGCGTAGACAGCTATTTATAAATACTTGTACCTTCCTGATGATGGTTGTAGTATTTCTGCAAGTTTCAGGTTGATATAGTAGAACTATGTTGACGTTCATATTGAAGATATGACTTCACATTGGTTGACAATTGTTTTGAGTTCCATATGTTCTTCAATTGTAGGAATGCGGCCTTGCTTTGCCAATCCTCGCCTTTACGTCTACATCTTATCCTCCTTGTTCTTAAATTGTGTGAACTTTCCTCCCTAATTTAGATGACCATTTTTTAACCTATAAATATGCATCACCCTCAATTATAATAACATAAGAAAATTTATGCACTCTTCCTGTTCTAATGATAACCTTCCATTCAAACATCTCAGACACCATGGACAATTGTACTTCAGTATTATTCTTTATAAACTGCTTTTTGTGGTCATTCGACGAGTAGTAATGTTGGAACAAAATGCTCAATTAATTTTATTTTGTAACCCTGTTAATCTTGATTTGTTGGCAAATAACTAAATCTTATAGTTTACTTCATGAACTGATTTTATTTAGGCAGCCGAGAATCACTAGATAGCTGTTGCGTTCTATCATAAGACTCCTCAATTGTAGGTGTTCAAAGGCCTCAGTGATTCCTGGTTTTCAGTGGTTGTTTAACTAATATCAGCTTGTTATAAAAACTATGAATTACAACAATGTCCATAGCAACCTATAATTAAATTATATCAATGAATCGATCGATCGCTCTAATTCATATGATCACTGTCTACCCTGAAGTGCTTTGTGGAGTTTATTTAAATAAAAATAACGAGAACAAGACGCAGTACCGGTCCATGAGAAGATAATGGCTGTTGACACGGATGACTTCACAGTTTATCACAAGATTCTTCCGCATTTTTTGGTTATTCCCCGTATATGAACAATGTTTTCCTTCGAAAAGATATAACTAAGAAAAATAACTCTAGTTAGACTATTGAAAGGAAGACACAATGTGAGCTATTGAATATCAACTTAATGATTGTCAAAATGCAACGCGCTCGCCACTAATTCTCCAGGTCCATGGCTACATTCCTGGTAGATTTGTAGTTGTATACTACCTGTGCAAACCTGGCTTTTGTCTAGCTAAAATTTCATCCTAGCTTTGTTGTAAAATGCAAGAAGTTTAGTCAATTCAATTTTTCAACGGATGTATGTGTATCTAAATTAAAAAATCTCAAGTTTTCTTTGAGTTAAATATTTTTAAATTGATCATCAAATTAAATGAGCGATTCCAAGAGCTTTTTTAGGTTGAATTCTCTTCTGTTCAGAAATTAGGAACTATTAATATATGCTATCGAAAGTGATGGTGAGATTTGCGTCCAGTTACATAATTCTTTGTGGAAATCGATGGGATTTAGAGTGAAATCTATCCACGGACTCAAGTATGTTACGAGGTAGTTGATGTGGTCGACAAAAGTGAGGTAAAATCTACTAGAAATATACGTTTAGTACAAATAGATCATGAAAATACCTCTCGATACACCGATGTGTAAAGATATCATTAACATAAGGTTCTATATAATAGCTATAAATCGGACATTCTCGATGGATCGCCAACCCTGATTTAATTTTTAGAAACGAATTTATACTACCTACAAATTATATAAGTAGGTAAAATGTTACAGTAAAATCAAACATGTCATTTGGATTTAACATGACACATTTGCGACCACCTCCCCATCCAAATATATAAGCAAATATTAATGGAACTATTATCCTATTGTTATCTGAAAATGATCGATTTTTTAAATTTAGAATGGTAATCGTAATTAAAGAATAAATATGACAGTTGAAATGACTAGTAAATGTGAATCGACAAATCCTTTCTTTCTCTCAGTAAATCTCAAACTTATTATCATTCCGAACTAAAAATCTCCCGTTTCTTTCGAAATACACTACTATGAATATCGTTACTAACATAATGCCGTTTTTCAATTTGTAAAATCCTTCCCCTGTTATGATAATTTGGATAGATTAACAATCATACCATGTGCTATACATTGTCGATAAATAATTTGACGACGATGATTTAAATAGCCGATAAAGAATACATAACTAGCTAAATGAAAACCATTCCATGCCACCTAATTTATATTAAAAATCTTATCTATCAGTGATTGAGACATGTATGGAGCAGGGAATATCTCCTGGATTATTACTTTGGTGTTCAACGTCAGAACTCCGCTTAGAGATCCTCTAGGGCCGCTGCCGGTCCCAAACCTGGATAAAGGAGGAGGTTTGGGCATGAGGTTAGCGACCCCATTCCATAGAAATATAACTTATTAAGAAAACGCTAATCAGAGAAAATAATTCGAACCACTTAAACTCTGCCCTGGGAGTAATGAGGTCTTCATTTAGAAGAGTTATGACGCCTCATGGTGAAAGCCGAGTTCCTTCGGAAGTCACGAGGCTGATGTTCCTTCCGATAACCAGAGCAAACATTTATTTAGGTACATGGAACGTTCGTACAATGTGGGAGAGTCATCCAAGTTGCTGCTGGAATGAAAAGATACAACCTGGAGGTGGTTGAAATCAGTGAAACACATTGGACACAAGTTTGACAACAAAGACTAGCTTCAGGGGAGCTGCCGTTATACTCCGGCCATGAAGAAGGAAATGCCCCATATACATAAGGAGTTGCACTGATGCTATCCAAACAAGCACGAAATGCACTTGTAAGATGGGAATCTCATGGACTAAGGATCATCAAAACCTACTTCAAAACAAGGAAAGAGAGCATTACAATGAACGTCATCCAATGCTATGCAACTACAAACCATCACAATGAAGACGTTACAGACCAATTCTAAGATAGGCTACAGTCAATCATTGGAAAATGCCCAAAAAAGGACTTGACCATTCTGATGGGAGACCTAAATGCCAATGTTGAAATGAACGATAACGGATATGAAAACATCATGGGACGACACAGACTGGGAGAAAGGAACGAAACTGGTGAAGCTTTTGCAAACTTATGTGCCTTCAATAAACTGGTCATAGGCGGCACCATATTCCCACATAAACGCATACACAAAGCCACCGGATCACACTACACAGAACTAAACCGACCATATATGCATTAATAAAAAGTTCAGAAGGATGATGGAAGACGTAAGAACCAAGAGCTTATATAGCCTCAGATCATCACTTGCTGGTCACCAAGATGAAATTGAAACTCAAGAAGCACTGGACAACACAGCGGACAACACCATAAAAGTTTAATACGGCCTTCCTTCGGAATACTGACAGACCTAACGAATTCAAGATAACCCTCAGCAATAGGTTCCAGGCCTTTCACAATCTACTCAATGGACAGTGGACTACTATGGAGAACAACTGGAAAAGGATCAAGGAAGCAAACACTTCAACATGTCATGAGGTTCTGGGCCACAAGAAGCACCATCACAAGGAATGGATCACTGTTGATACACTGGATAAGATTTAAAAAAAGGAGGGACAAGAAAGCAGCAATCAATATCAGCCGAACAAGGACAGAGAAATTTCCCATGGATACCGAATTCATTATGGATAAAGAAGTATTCATCAATACATGTACTTCGAAGTTTCAACTTATAGATAGGTTACAATATCAAATATGTTATCTATTAGAAATAAAATAGTACTGTTGGCAATATATTCAAACTGAGAAATCGTTTCATCATATCATTCGATTGGAATTGCATTACTTTTCCTCAAGTTTTAGTGTAAAACATAGTGCAACTACAGCTACAATTACATGGCAGCAACCATTTATATTGGAATCTCTGTATCAGACTATAATCAGATATTATTTACTTGTGTATTTATGACTACTAATGATATAACTCAACAATTATAACTTACACAGATATGAAACAGAATTAAAACATGTAACTAAATCAAAACAAATCAAGTACTAACTGATACCCAATAAAGCAAACACCTATGGTTAACTATGGGATAAAGGAAAAAAATAAATAATATACATTCTTAGGAAGGAGAAAAAACAAACAAATACTTAATTGGCTCTTTTATTTTACGTTTATGACAGAAAAGACAAATTTCAAGAAGATATAAAGGAATGAATCGAACAATTTGAATTGAATAACATGAAGTTAGTACATAAAATTAATATGATACAAGTACTATTCACCATGGAAAAAAGAAAGAAAAGAACTTCCGAGGTTTGTATAGTTTATCTATAAAAAATACATTCATACAAGGACACCAATGAACAGAATGTATATATCTATCACATAAACATCAATGGGAAAAAAATAACAACAGAATCATACAATACATAAATAGAAAATAGGGAATAATAAAGGGACCATACACAATGAACAATAATATGTATCTTCCTTCTCTTTCGCTCTCCTCATATAAACACAACGATAGAATAGTAAAAAAAATAGAAATAAGACTATTGATACTACTTATCTATCTTTATTAGTAATATGGAATTGAATAAAAGATAGACTAAACATTGTAATTTTATTTATCAAATAATGTTTATAAAGAAAAATGAAGTGAGTGAAGAGAAAAGAAATTCATTTTGTCCAATGTATTCTCTCTTTTGAAAGTAATCCATGAGAGGATGTGTGTGTGTGGGGGGGGAATTCAAGAGAAAAAAAGAAAGGAAAAAAAATCATCCTAGACATGAAATCATAACATATATGGGATCAGAAAAAGAAGAAAAACAAACAAAATCAATCAAATAACATATACACAATAATAGTGTTGATAATTATCATTGACAGATATTGGCAAAGTATATGAAAGTAATTTATTTCATTAAAGCTTTAACAACAGCATTTACTGATAACTGACGAAGATCAGAATAAGTTTGACCTGTACCAACGAATACAATAGGTTGATTTGAAATACATGCCATAGAAATAGCAGCTCCAACCTGAAAAACAAAAAAAATTGCGGAATGAATTAGTTAGTTCAAAAGATGAATAATAACTCAGTCAAATGTAACGTGGAAATTGGTACATCAGTTTAATTTGAAAATAGCAACAAAGTTGTACTATTATATACAAAAACACTTAGAAGTGCATATAAAACAAACAATAGAAATATAACACATTTTTCATCGATATTACATAGGTGGATCTAGTTAGTAATCATATTCAACATGATGTTATTAATTGAGGATAGAGATGTGATTCGACTAGGTGTTTTACTACTGAGAGTATGTTATATCTAAATCTTAGATTCTTATTATACCGCCTACTACTTGAGCACGCGAAAGCTAGAATCCTCTAAATCGCAAGTGAGAAAGAATGTCATTCCAAAGTGTCAAATATAGTACAAAACTCTTAAGTATTTATAGTTTTTTAGTAAAAATGATATCATCATTACAGCAATTCAATCTGCGTGCAGTGGTTTCTAGCATTTGCTCAATCGGGAAGCTATATGTCAAGATTCTGGGATGTTCTTCCAAAAGATGATTACTTGGAATGCCTTCGGCTTTTCCCGAGCTTCACAGAACTTCAGCTATGCGTGCTAGCACCTGGTCAAAAGTCTCCTGCAAGTCCATTTTTTCTGCTCTCATGATTATGATATCGTCCTCCGAGCTGAAAAGTGTGATCGTTGTATACAGCAGGTGCGACTCCTTAGTTTCATAAGAGATAAAGATGAGAGACGACAAGACCCAGAGGATATCGAAGCTATAAAAACTATGTCTACACCTAAGGATATCCCCCTACTCTACGATCTCTCTTGGGATTGGTTAGTCATTACGGAACTGTTCTTCCTGAACTTCATCATGCGTGCCCCTCCGAATTGTTTACTAACAAAGAATATCAAGAAGCATTCTTAAAACAACTCCTATCATCAAATCTTCTACTTACGCACTATGATCCGGCCCTTCCTATTGTGGTCGCAGCAGATGCATCAAATTACGGAATTGGAGCAGTGATTTCACATATCTACCCCGATGGATCTGAGAGAGCGATTGCCCACACTGCACGATCACTGGCAACAATATAAAGGAACTATAGTCAGAGAAGGAAGCCCTTTCCATTATCTTCTCTGTAAAAAAGTTTCACAACATGCTATTTGGCAGACAGTTAACGTTACTAAGAGACCACAAAACGCTACTGACAGTTTTTGGATCCTAAATCCTTCTTTTTACTGGAGAGATTTACGGATAGTAATTAAAGGTTATAGTCAATGGATAAAAGTGTACCACCTATATAAGTCAAAACCAAAAACAAATGTGTATATGGATTAAGCTTTTATTTTTCCTAACTCATTTATGTTCTTTCAATTAACATGAGACATTTTTAATTTCAATAGAGAATCGTGGTACCTCAAATCAACATTTTATTACACTATCTACCATTCATGCATTCCTTAATTTATTTGAATTTATATTATATCTCCAGGACATGAAGGATAAGAAAATGTCTATTAAAACACATTTTTCAATACCTTATCATCAATTGTGTCGAATTTAGTCAATACAATGCCATCAATGCACCTAGGGCGATCAGAATAGCTATGATCTGCAAGTGATTGATTGAATTTAACCAGTTGATCAACTGCTTCATTACCAACCAACGCTTCACCAACGAACAACACAAGATCCGGTTGGTTGGTTTGAATCAGCTAGAAAAGGAGAGTAGAAAGGGTCACGAAATTGAGAAAACTTTTGAAAACACAATTTAATGAAAATTTTCTACTATTTCAACATTGGACATCAAAATAACAGAGAAATTGTTGTGAGATATCTATTATAAACTGATAAAACTATAAGTAGGTGCCTGTACACAAAAACAAATGCAAATGACGGTAGTCAGTGCGGCAGCAGTTTCTGCAGGAGTAAGCTTTGACATTCACAAGGAAAAAAGCAAAACCTGAAAATAGGGCACAACGAGAACCAACCAATCAAATTACATGGGATGGAGAAGCTATGGAAGAGGTGGGAAGTTTTACGTACATGAAGAGTATCATTGATAAGCGAGGATCTGATGCATATCTAAAGGCATAGATTGGCGAAACAAGGACAGCATTCCTAAAATTAAACAACATCTGGAACTCAAAACAACTGTCAGCCAACATTAAAGTCAGAATCTTCAACACAAACGTCAGGACAATTCTATTGTAAAGAGCTGAAACTTAGAGAACTATTACAACAATGTTGAAATAAGATGATGGTTGGAGGTAGTCAATAGGAAACCCTGGACCTAGGTTTCGTGCTACTTGGCACTCGTCAGCAAGGTATACCTGGAATTTTGAGGGAACTGATACTTCCTGACAGAATCGGTCCCGTGTCGCCCAGCTTCATAGTCAGAGACGAAGCATCAGTTCCCTCAAGATTACATGTACACCTTGCTAACGAGTGCCAAATAGTATAAAACCTAGGTCTAGGGTTTCCTATTGACTACCTCCAACCGACATCTCATCTCAACTTGGTAGATTGAATTTGATCTGAACTAAGATAGAACACATGACATTGATCGCTACCCAGTGATCAGTCAGTTGTAAACTACTACAACCATCATCAAAAAGGTACAGGTATTTATAAACAGCTATTTATGCAAGATACTTCATATCCGTTGACCAGACACTATTAGTAAAAATCTACTGTGATAGAGAACAAACTATCTTCTATCTGCATAGAAAATTAGGAAAACATGGAGGTGGGTAGGTCAAACTTTACAGAAATCATCAAATTGCATAACAAGGTAAGCCTTAAATTTGAATCCTCAAGGCAAGAGGAAAAAGTGAAGACCGAAGAACACATCTCGCCAGGAATGGGAGGCATATATAAAAAAAGTGGATAGAACTTGGCAACAACCAGAAAGGATAATCCAAGATAGAGAAGGTTAGGGACTGGTGGTCGATGGCCTATGATCCACGACGGGCAAAGTTGTTAGGCAAGCAAGTAAGCGCCGAATGTGAATAGGTTACTGCATAGAAAATAATTTTGCCGTAAAGCGATAAGTGGAAATGGTCACCTGATTTCAAGACTGTATAACCCAAAAATATTTAAACATTATTTAGGATCTCAGTTATATTATTAGTAATGAAAAGCACTATAGATACTAGTCAGTTGTCTAAACTTATATATTTATTAGTGATGGCAGAATTATGGTGAGACGAATGAGACCGAAGCATGTAACAATCGAGTCTAAATCGAAGGCAAGATTATTATCATCTTGTTAATTTGATCTTGTTGTCCTGGTACGGTAAAGCGACTTTGGCTAACCCTCATTTGTACTAGGCTTTAATTTGATATCTCACTGAATTAATACGACTATAAATCTGTAAGCTATATGAATAGTTTGATTTCCAAAAAACATATGTGACTTACCGAAGCTAAAGCACGCATTAATGGTTCATTGTCTTGCATACGCCCAGCTGTGTCCACAAGTACAACATCAAAGTGTCGATCACGGGCTATTAAGAAAGGCAAGAAAAACAAGTATTAAGTAATTTAAAATCTATAACGTACATATGAAATAAGAGTACAATTTAATTTGTATGTTTCAAGCATAACCCGATTATACTTATGATTTGAATTGAGTGTATGTAATGGGAGTTAATCAGGCAATACAAAGGAACAACTAATGTCGAACTTTTTTTCTTGCTGAACGCGTGAGTGGGTTTCATAAGCTTTTCTAATAACCCACAGGCTAAATCTACATGAAAATATGAACACGAGAGGAAAGGCACAGTGTGAAAATAACGCTTTACTCAAAGGTTAGTTTTATGTACAGAATAAGAGGGTATTTATGGTATTTCAGAGGGCGTTAAGTTTCTGGAAGATCCCGGAACCATACTGAACACAATACTAAGATAAGTAATCATTCAGAAATGTGATACGTGACGCTCCACTTTCTCGATATTTCTGAAAAACATCTATTCGATGCTGACTGGATAAAATGTTTCTAAGATCCTTCAGGTCCCCTACGAAGTTTTCCGAGGAATGCTTTAGATCCCCCCAAAACTTACAGTAAAACAGGATTAGTAGTTTTAACAGTTGATTTGATCATACAGTTTTCTAACATCAAGGGCTACAGTATACAGTTTAAAACGCAGTTTTAGGGGATCAAAGATGATATTTTGTGAGCTTGAATCAGTTATTAATCACACGATCGAAAGGTTGCTGTGATATGGTAATCAAATCATTCGATGTACAACAGATTGTAATTCGGTAGCTTAGTGAGTACCCATTCTGACTGAAACTAATGATCCACAGCTATCACACCAACGACTAAAAATTATAAACACATCAATATTCTAATATGGATGATACGAATGAACACAATGAAGTAGTTTAATTATCAATTACTGACTTTTGCAGTGATTTTTGAATCCTGTCTAATGTGTAATGACTACATCTATAATCTGGATGAATGAAAGGTAGAATGGAAATCAGACCTGATGTCTAGTAATAGAAAGTAACTTGTTCGAATCACTTCACTACAGATAAACAACAACACCCCCACCACGAGAAGACAGTGAGTAGGACTTCCCTGGCAGAGGCTGTGTACGCGTGGCCGCGTGAGAGCGTTTTGAGAGGGAGGGTGGGCCCACCCCACTCTCGACCATACTAGGGCATTTGGGGGTAGAGATAAACCACCAAAATTATATTTTATTCAGAAAAAATGTCAGGTGTATAGTGAAATTGGAGCTAGAATTCGGTACAACGCTTAATTATTTTGAGAAATTAAAGAACGATTTCACTTCATAAGCTTCTATTCAAACAATCACATTCAACAATTGTTAAGCAGAATGTGAGATTTTCCCAAATAAAATAAACGCTTAACATAGACTTAGAAAAATTATATATATATATATATATATATATATATAATATTGAATATAAAAGTACACATTATACCATAGTTAATTGCAGAACGAGCTATTGAGGCTGCATCACGACCATATCCTTGCTCATACAGTTCAACCATAGTTTGACCACCATGCTGATCAGCTGGATGAATGTAATTTAATTTACGTACATGTGTACGCAGCTGTTCAACAGCACCAGATCGAAAAGTATCACAGGCAGCTATAAGGACACGGAAATTCTTCTCGATAAGCCAAAAAGCAATCTATAGGAAAAGCGAAATACCATTATGATTATTAATTTCATGTATGAACAGTTTAGTACAATTCTACTGTCAGTAAAAATCTTGAAAACACTAATTGTGAAAATTAGATTTAAAATAATTTCAGCGATTCAAACTTAAATAATTCCAATATCTCGTCCAGAAAATTTGTCTAGACTTCTTCAGGGTAATAATCAAAATCAAATCTTTATTGTACTTATTCAATCATATTCAGATGTTGACTTTAGAAAGTAGGATAACATGAGTTAGTTTTATATGTGAATCATGTGGAGAGTTCATATTGTGACGATAAATGAATGATTGCATGCATGTGTAAGTTTGAGTTATTAATAGTTGATATTAGGAGTTAATTTGTTTTTACATGATCATTTGCCAAAACGTGGCTAGTTTAATACCATTTTTTCTGTTTAGACTGCTCTTATTAACCCATAAATATAAAGCTTTTTCCGTCAATCCTTTCATATACATACAAAACCCTTTCTGGATTATTTTGGTCACTTTGCAATCAATCATGTGTCCTGATTCTGACTCATTTAACACTACCACTGACCTATTTTCAAGTTACTTAAGATCAACCGAAGCTTTTGCAACATTTTTTGAACATTACTTGTCTTCCTTCAACTTTATGTTCAACTGTCTAGATGTTTCTTCGACATAAGTTGTATTACAATCATGACTACTGATCTCATAGATAACATTCTGTTGTTTTTCTTTGGAAACTTACATATTCATCAAAGAAAATGGCTAGCATAGTAAATAAACATCTATCATAGAAGCTAGAGAGATTAAGTACATTTATGTTTAATAATTTTATTTAAAGTCGAAAATTATTGACTGTTGATCTGAGCGGTGTTGATCAGGGTATGACATAATAATTGCAATCAGTCGTTTGGGGAAACGTTAGGTGACAATGTTCAAAATCAATCACAGAGTAATGCATGTGTTTTAATTATTTATCTTCCACTAAATTACACATTTCAATATTATTTCACAATGTTTAATTTTTCTATTCATCTATACTAATATATCGACTCCTAAACTATATCTTCTTTAGATAAGTTCTTGCTATACTGATGTGATATGATAGCTTGAGCAACTACATATTCCTGTCAGGCCCTACTTATTTTAAATTACGGTTCAGTGATTTATGTTAAAGTCAACCAGTCATATGTAACGAGGAACTTAGAGCATAAGTACATTGATCCAAGTTACTACACCACGTTAGCATAGCGAGATAAAATTACCAAGCCAAATCCGAGATTAGTAGAAGTAGTAACAGTAACCGTATTGGAAAAGATCAAGTCTAAAAAGAGAATAAAAAGCATAAGAGGATTTCTAGATTCATGATATAAGGTATCAAATCATCCCACAGAAAATGTATATTCTGTAGATCATTAATTTATCTCATGCGTAGTTATACATATAGTCTGAGTATATGTACTTTAACAAACCTTATATTCACAGAATATTTTTCTCTACATACGAATACTTTCACTCGCCAATCGAATGATGGTACTTTTTTAATATAATGAGAAATCATTACTTGTACGGTAGATAAGTAGCTTAGTGACTAAACCGTTTAGTTTTTAAAAATCGGTTTGTTGGTAGGTTCGTATCCTGTTCCAGCTGTTCTCGTTTAGACACGTGGGTGGTATAACTGGTCTATACAAAAACTGTGACCTAAAGCAGAGTGCACGAATCTGTACTCGGCTGGTGACTTGTTGGTTATAACATTAGATAACTTAGTTAAATGACATACCTTTGCCAGATTTGTCGATTTTCCAACACCATTAACACCACAGAAAACAATACTGTATGGTCTTCCTTGAGTACGCGCATCCAGTGCATCACGAAGAACATCTACGCGGCGACCAGAAACTAAAATTCGAGAACAAACTTCTTCCAAACTGGCTCGAACACGAGGGTAAATTCTTTCAAATGTTCCAAGTGATGTGCCAACAAGGCGATCAGCAACGTTCGAACAAACTCTATCAGCGATTGACATAGCAACATTTTTACCAACAAGGCGTTCTCTAAGTTGCTCAAGACAAGGTGTAATATCTTCTCGAGTTAAAACACGCCCAGAACCGCCAGTAATGCGTAAACCACGCAATAAACTTGAGGCAAAACCGCCATTGAGATAACCTGACTATTATAATAAAAGAAAAAGAAAATACACACATAATTGTCTGATCTTTTAAGATTTCAAACGTTTTTCTGAAACGATGATTTATAGTGATCTACATAGCCGAATAGGCTGATAAATTTATTTCCTTATTCATTCAGACTTAAATAACACAAGTATATATTAGAACATAAAATTAGACACTAAATAAATAAAAGAGGACTGAATCAGTCCAAGCAGATTGACGAACCTTTGTTTGTTTATTATCAAGTGAACTCTTTTGAAGTTGAGAGTCGGTTCGTAAACCATCCTGTTCAACGGATTTATTCTCTTCAAGCTCTAAATCATCTAGGTCTTCATCACCTGAAGAGACATTAACTTCATCTAAATCATCTTTCATCGTCCCACGGAGACGAGATAGCGTTTCTATTTCCGTGGCAGAAAAGTTATAATCAGCTTTTTGGTTTCCTGTTGACTCTGTATGATTCATACTACTAAAATCCAAAGCTGCTGCCTCCTCGCCAGTTGCTGAATTATCCCACCGACGGCTTTCTTTGATTTTTTTACCATTAGGTTTTTGCATAGGTGACAATGAAGGGCTAGATGAACATAAGGAAACATGTTTATTACTAATAAAATAAATGTGGAATCAGTAATTGGGAATGATATATATATATATATATGTTTGGTGGACGAAACGTTGAGATTATTCAAAATTCAACCGCCAAGATTAGTTCAAATCACAACTTTCACAAATGTCTTCTTGATACTTGGCATCCAGTTTCTGTCAAACTATTCGTTCAAATACTGACGAATATCTGTATAGACTTGAAGATGATTCTGACAAGCACCAATAAGTTGTTGCACCGATGTAATCAAAATCTTAATGTGATTTAGAAGGCAAGTGCTATCAGTTAATATACTTTTTAAGTAATCTTGTAAAATGAATAAGAATTTCAAGAAAATTATGTCCAACGCTTGGTGAAGGCGAATGTCCGGAGCTTTAACTGGGTTAGTGGATACGGAGGATCCATCTAAAGAAGTTGGAAAACCCTGATTCCAAACCAGTGGTGTACAGGGGCTTCATGATTCTGAGGGAACAAACGGCGTATGAACTTGTTGTCGGTCATCGGCTTCCAAAGAACTGGATCTCCTAACGTTGCCCCACTGTATTGTGGATTAGACCTTTAGGTTAGAAAATTGAGGTGTGGTCTGTTAAGAAAACTACGTTCTTCGGTTTGGGAGCCCAGGGAGTATCCCAGCCCTTACGCAAATCAAATGATGATTATCACTGAAAAATGATTGTCCCTTTAATTCGCATTCAAACAAATCACACTCACAATGCTTTAATAACATTCGTTTCCATTTCTTCTTGTATTACGTCACTTACCTACTCCTTTTCATTTTCGCTTTGTGTATTCTTTTATTTTGAAACTTACAGAGAAGTTCGCCTACGGTGGGAACCCTGTCTTATCTAAGCGATCTGAAGTCACTGACTGGTTGGGAGCTGAATGTTACCACTGACAGATATTGTAGTACTAGCTAGAGATTTTAGTGCTCAGGTCGGGCGTCTAGGCACAGAAGAGTCGTTTAGGTGGCCGATGGGGACTTGATCGAAGATCATATAACGGTAACCGACTACTGAAACTTTGCGAAGACTGTAGCCTATTTCTGGCTTGCAACAGCTATTGGCAAAGTTATCGCCAATGCGCTACCTGGCGTCCTCCCTCTACATCTCAAGCTTGAACCACATCACGATCAGATATCGCTGGAGTGGTTGTTGCTTTTGGAGTACTTATTTGAACCCTGATCACACCCTTGTTTGCGCTAATCTTATCTTACTTTTCAATGACCAACAAATTCATCGCCCTAAACGAATCGATGTCAGTAAATTGGTTGCAACTTCTGTTGCAATTAAATATCAAACCGAGCTAGGTTCAAGGCTAGCTACCATCCCACTGAAAAGTATAGATGAGTGTTGGTTGCAATTGCATGACGCCATGAAAATGGAGAGTAAAGTCGCTAGCGGCTTCGCGAAACGTCCCACTTATAAGCACTGAGTTTCTTCAGGTTCCCTACAACTCATTGGAGCCCATCGGCCTACTCCTGGTGACTATGAGTTTGACCATAAACGAAGATTGTTACGTGATAAAATTGTGCAAAGCCTGCGTAAAGACCGAGAAACTTGGTGGTACGAGAGTGCCAATGAGTTGGAAGTAGAAGCTGCATCTGGTAACTGTCGGAAGCCCTTTCATCTCATCCGAGTCACTGGCATCAAGAAGTCTGGTGCGAGCGAAACAATATATGAAAATGACGGGATGTCAATGGACAGAGTTTTTCGAGGGGCAGTTCAACTGATCTACTGCCCCAGCGACATCGATCAGACTATCTTGCCCTTGATGACTGATCCACCTAACGAGGTGGAAGTTCGCAAGGAACTCCAACTCCTGATGCGCCACAAATCATCAGGCCCAAATGATTTGCATCCGGCCCTTTTTAAATATAGTGGTGACTTTATAGTTGAGAAACTGAGTTGTTTACAAAGATCTGGCACTTGGAGTGTTCTAACATCATGGAATGAATCGATAGTTTTTCCTATCTTTAAAAATGGTTTATGTCTTTGCAACAACTATCGTGGGATAATTCTACTTCTGATTGCGTCCAAAATATTGGTTTTCGTCATACTTCGTGGGTTGTTCAAAACCCGAGAAAGATTGACTCGTGAGAAGGCTAGTGTTCGTTCTGGTCGAGGACGTATTGATTATATCTTCACCCTCCACCAAATGTTAGAACACCGTCATACCAATCACAGGTCAACAATCGTAATGTTACTTGACATTAGAGCCGCATTCGATTCGTTCGACAGGAATGTTCTCCGGGATTGTCTGTTGAAGAAGGGTGTGCCTGAGAACTTTACTGACATCTTGAAAGCCCTACATTCAAACACTCCAGGCACAGTGAGAGCATACAACCACCTTTCCCCATTGTTCCATTCAAGCAGTGGGGTTAGGCAGGGTTGCCCAATCTCACCATTCCTCTTCAACTTTGCCATCGATGACATTCTGGAAACAGCTCTGATGGACGTAGGTAATGGTGGTGTGGACCTATTGCCTGGAGAAAGACTTCTCGACCTCGAGTATACGGAAGATAATGTCTTACTGTGCGATAATGTCCAATCCATGCAATCCGCATTTAATCAATTGGTAATCGGTGTATGTAGGTATGGTATGTGCCTTACACCTTCGAAGTACGAAATGCTTTTACAAGACTGACAGGACCCTGATCCTGCGCTCACCCTGGGTATTGAACGGATAGAAACAGTCAGAAAGTTGGTGTATCTGGGTAGCTGCATAAGTGCTGGTGGTGGCGTGAATGAGGAGATCAATTCATATATAGTGAAAGCCAGGGTGGCTTATGCCAATCTGGACCATCTTTGGCAACTTCTTAATGTTAGTCTGGCTGTAAAAGACCGGGTCTACAACGCCTCGGTGAGAGCACTATTACTCTAAGCTTGTGAAACTTAGCCTCACCGAGTTGAGGATATTAGACGACTCTCTGTGTTCGGTCATCGCTGTCTCCGAAAGATTTTTGACATTCAGTGGCAACATCATGCTAGTACTAGAAAGGTTCGGCATCGTGTGTTCAAGCACAGCAACGATAATACAATCGGTGTCGCTATCTTGAAACACCGACCAGTGGCTCGAACATGTCCTACGAATGCTTTTTTCCTAACTGATCCAAACTAGGACCATCTCTATGGTTTTCTGTATATCCATAAAGCAGTTACCGTTGTAGATTTTATGGGCTACCAAAAATACATAAAATAGATGTTCCACTAAGACCTGTGGTTGATTATACAAAGTCACCAACCTACAATCTTTCTAGATACCTTGCCAAGATTCTTAAACCACATGAAAGTGTAATCAAATAAGGAATAAAAAATTCTAATGGGTTCAAAGACATCATTACTATCCTCATAGATGAATTAATGGCAAGGTTTGATGTATGCTAATTGCTTACTGTTAAGAAAACTTTAGATATTGTATATAATCCCTTAGATTCTGACACTGAACTTAGACAACGATATCCATTAGGCCCCTTAGACATTATTAAAGCGGTGGATCTATGTTTACATCCGACTGTTTCCAGTTTTCCAGATTTGTACAAACAAACGGGTGTAACTATGGGATCACCGGTTCCTCCAATTGTTGCTAACTTATTCATGCATTCATTGAAAACAAGCGTAACCTCAATGTGTTCCCTTTTACCAAAATTTTGGTTAAGATACGTAGATGACACTTTTGTCATTATAAAACGAGATGGTTCAGACGTTTCAACAGTATTTATGACAAAATCGAGTTGGAATCCCCTGAACGCAAATTAACTTATCTATACTGTTTGGTTGGAAGGAAATATAATGATTGTTTAAAAGTTAGTATTTTCCGAAAACCAACACTATTCAGGGAAATTCCTAGATTTTAAGCCAGCACATCCACACTCCACCAAAGTGACAGTATCCAAGAATTTGATAACCAGAGTTCAAAAACTTGTCACTGAACCCAATTATATAGAAACGGAAATGAATTTAATTATATCCACTCTAACGATGAATAATTATCTGAGGGATTTTATAGAAAGAATAATTAAGGACGAAGACCAAAACGATATTAATAAAAAAGAGCCAAGCGAAAAGAATGGGTTAACACTGATGATCGCATATCGTAAAGGCATTTCAGAAGAGATCAGAAGGATCCTAACTCTTCAAAATATGAGTATTCTTTCGAACAAACAATACACTAAGATCAAAACTAGTAAGAATCAAAGGTCCAATATACAAGGAGGAACAACAAAATTGTGTTTATGTTGTAACTGTAATGTCACATATGTAGGTGAAACATCAAGACAACTGAATGTGAGAGTGAAGGAACACAAACTATGCTTGAAGCACGCTCGTAAATCCTCAGGTGATGTACGAAAACTCAAGAACAAATCAGAGACAGCATTACACTCGATAGAATCGAGTCATACAGTTGATTACAATGATACAAGAATCCTTACAAAGAAAGACTAACAGCCGAAGCCCTATACATATGGGCAGATTTATGCAGATTATAACATTTTGAAGGCTAAAATCAAGCTTTTGTATTTAAAGTGTTTTTTCTTCATTATAGAAGAGGGCAAGAACAACAATTTGTGCAGAATATCGTGAATTCATTTTGTTTAGTTAGATTTTCAACGACCGTTTCGAATGCAAAATGTACGGAGTAGACTAAGGATATCTAAAGCTAGAAATATATGGTTACTTCTAACCATTTGATCTTTTTGATTTGCTTTGTAATTATGATTTGGAATATCAGAGAGTGTGTAGCCTGTAATCCTAATATCATCAAAGACTTTCATATTTTAAGCAACATTATGATTTCGCCTAGAAAGAAATTTACTATTCTCTAATGGTGGTCTAGCTTCAATTGACTTATGATTTCGATCTGTGAAGTTACTAAGATCTCCACAAACCCCTTCCGATATTCTCTAATGGACAATTACCGACTGTTGTTGCTACCTTGACGTGGTGGTCGAGCTTGTCTATTGTAATAAACCG